AGGCAATTTTCTATGTGAATATTCAAATACTTTAAACTTATATAACGAAAAACCTTGTGAAGTTAATTTATTAAGATTTTCTAATTATAAACCAAATTGTGCACCAATTTCAATTAAAATAAATAATATTCAAATAAATAAAATTGGTGATGAAAAATGGATATTAATTGTTCCCAAATTAACAATAGCAACAGTAGAATGTGGAAACACAAGAGATAACATACAATTAGAAGGAAGTTATATCTTAGATTTAAATCCTTCATGTAGCGTTAACATTGAACATTATATCTTAAAAAGTTATAAAGAACCAAAATCAAATTTTATTAAAATAGATTTACCTCAATTAAATTTTGAAAATAATCAGACTTTGCAAACATTTTCGTATAATCCTCATAATATTAATTTACATGAAATTAACACTAATAAGTTAATCGAAACACAGAAAGAATTAAATTTACAAAGAGAACATTTAAGCCAACTAAAAAATCCTGTTAATGTTTCTACCAATGTTTGGACAATTATGTTGTACATTATTTTGATAACAATTGCATTGTACCTTTTAATTAAAAAGCTTATTTTGCCGAGAATGCATAAAAACAAAATTAACTTTGAATCTAAAGATGATATAATAATTTAAATATTTTTGGAATTTATTCCTTCCGAATAAAGTTCCATCTAACAGGGGAGGAATTACGATATAGCATCCCTTTGTTATAATAAAGCAAACTCTGCAAACTCAGCAGTTTTAGAGAAATATAAATTCTGTAGAATAATTGGAGCAGTCTTGTTTACCACTCGTGTATGTAAGAACTTCGGAATAGTGTTTTTTTCTAAAATTCCTAAAAAAATTGTATTTTTAAAAAAAGTTAAAGAAATACCCAAAATCGAAACTTTTTTATCTTATGAACTATGTGTCTATCTCCCTCTTGTTTTCGAGATACAGAGCGAAGACGCCAAATGCGCTGGTCTAATTATTTTTTTTATATATCATAGAGGGCGCTAGCTTTGCTACATTCGTATTACATTTTAAGTTAAATTTTTTTTAAGGTTAGGTTTTTTACCATTCGGGCTCCAATTTCTAATGTACAATTTTATTTTCTAAAAATAATGTACTCTTGTTAGAACTTCCTAATGTCGACGATTTTCGAGAAAAAAGGCTTTCAATTGAACTCTTACGGTGTATAAAATAAGTGACTTCTCAAAGTAGGCATAATTATTAGTCATTATTAACTACAGTTACTAACAATCACTAAAATTTTGCTTTAAAGTTAATTAGAATGTGTGCGTTATTTATGAGATATCCATCAATAAGTTTTGACATAAGCCTGCTTTGAGAAAAAAAAAAGAAATATTCAGCGTATAAAGGAAGTCGGCTCCTATTGGTCGGATCGAGACGTTTTTTTTAAATTTAATTCTGACAATTATTCACTTTTTTTTCACCGCTAATTTTACAAAAGCAAAAGCCTATCCTTGTAGCAAATTTCCTCAGGAACAAAATCGATGAATATCCCTCATGTCGATTAGAGGCTTATTTTCGGAATTATTAGCGAAAAATTGAAAAAAGATCAATTCTTTTTTTTTTTCTTTTGTTATAAACAATATGACGCTCGACCTCTACAAATACGCAAATTTAGGCTTTTATTCTGTGTATTTTTTACTTATTTTTAAGCCCATAAAATTCGACTTCGGCCCGATTTTTGAAAAAAAAAACCTAATTCGCCCGGACTATTACTCCTCGGATGGGGATTCATATAACTAATGATTCCAGTGGTGAAGATAATAACGATGCAGTATGACAATTATGTACTGGAAGATTTTCAAAAGATGTGTGTGTTGAAAAATGAGCGGAATGGCTGCCATGAGGGGTGTGGTGCGGGTGTGAAACATAAATGTTTCTATTCTTTTAACACATTTGCGGTTTATGTAAAAAATATTGCATTTTGACAAAGTTGGCTACGTAGATCTAAAGGTGAACAAATTACATTACATATCAAAGATGAAAATAATAGCAAATATATTACAAATAAAAGGGGGACTCTTATCAGTCTATATGTGAAATACAGCCTAAGGTTCTTCGATTAAATTCTGCAACTAATTCTTCTGATGGAGGTTAGGTGTTGGACTTTTCTTTTATTACTGATTGCTGGTGAAATGTTATGAATTAAATTACCTTTGAAAATTCTATTCTTACCTCTAAGTGTGACGATCAAGTGAAGACAAGGCATAACGACCAAGGCCATTATGCTTGCCAATCTAAGCGTTATAAATATAAATCGAAACAGGAACAACTGTGGTCCTTCCTTTACTTTTGGTATAGTATAAGTGTGTGTCAAAATTTTTAGGCTGGAATAAAAAGATCGTTCTTTTGTAATTTCGTACATTTCTAGTGCCTGCTACGCGAGCATAAAAAAATTTCATCAGAATTTGTCTTTTATACGTATACCAAATTCAATTAGGCATGTTTGTATTGTACATATTATTTTCGATTAATTCTTCGAATACAAATATATTATTTAAAAGATAGGTATTCTCTAATAAGAAAATTAGTTACCTTTTAATTTAAAAAATTGCTGTACGCGACTATCCAATTCTAATAGTAATTGAGGTCGATGGAGCAGCTTTGGGATTGATGAAAGACTAGATAGACCTATATTTTCCGGCAAAATGATAATGTTATTCCGTACGTAGATTATAAGATTAAAAGGAAAAATAACGGATACAGTAAAATGTAACAGAAAAAAAATGTATTTAATCAACCATTTTAAGGAATGTAAAAATGACATGAAATCTGAGGAGCAAAATGGCTTTATATTTAACTTTTCAATAAAAATGTCACAATTCCAAGTCTGACCTTCATATCAATAATTATATTTTTAAACATTGGATACAAATTAAAAATTTTTCAAACTTCACCCCATAGCTACGTACACAGTTCCCATCTGACCATTAGGAATATTTATTTATTAAAATATAAGATAATGATAATTTCAAAAACTATTGAAAACCAAAATTAGACAGTTAATAATAATAATAATAANATAATAATAATAATAATAATAATAATAATAATAATAATAATAATAATAATAATAATAATAATAATAATAATAATAATAATAATAATAATAATAATAATAATAATAATAATAATAATAATAATAATAATAATAATAATAATAATAATAATAATAATAATAATAATAATAATAATAATAATAATAATAATAATAATAATAATAATAATAATAATAATAATAATAATAATAATAATAATAATAATAATAATAATAATAATAATAATAATAATAATAATAATAATAATAATAATAATAATAATAATAATAATAATAATAATAATAATAATAATAATAATAATAATAATAATAATAATAATAATAATAATAATAATAATAATAATAATAATAATAATAATAATAATAATAATAATAATAATAATAATAATAATAATAATAATAATAATAATAATAATAATAATAATAATAATAATAATAATAATAATAATAATAATAATAATAATAATAATAATAATAATAATAATAATAATAATAATAATAATAATAATAATAATAATAATAATAATAATAATAATAATAATAATAATAATAATAATAATAATAATAATAATAATAATAATAATAATAATAATAATAATAATAATAATAATAATAATAATAATAATAATAATAATAATAATAATAATAATAATAATAATAATAATAATAATAATAATAATAATAATAATAATAATAATAATAATAATAATAATAATAATAATAATAATAATAATAATAATAATAATAATAATAATAATAATAATAATAATAATAATAATAATAATAATAATAATAATAATAATAATAATAATAATAATAATAATAATAATAATAATAATAATAATAATAATAATAATAATAATAATAATAATAATAATAATAATAATAATAATAATAATAATAATAATAATAATAATAATAATAATAATAATAATAATAATAATAATAATAATAATAATAATAATAATAATAATAATAATAATAATAATAATAATAATAATAATAATAATAATAATAATAATAATAATAATAATAATAATAATAATAATAATAATAATAATAATAATAATAATAATAATAATAATAATAATAATAATAATAATAATAATAATAATAATAATAATAATAATAATAATAATAATAATAATAATAATAATAATAATAATAATAATAATAATAATAATAATAATAATAATAATAATAATGCATTTATTGCCCAACAGAACAAATGTTCCAATTACAGGACAAAAAAGTATAGACATTCAAGTACAAAACACTAAAAATATAAAAAATCATAGTCCTAAATAAATACAAATAGATATATAAACTACAAAATACGGTCTAGTTTCTACAATATCAATTAAAAATTATTAAATTGAAAAAATGAGTTGTTACAGATAACAAATTATTTATGGTACAGTGGTTTATATCACACTGCCTAGATATTAAATTATAATTATTTGCCATGACATAGATGGGAGATTTAAGAAGTATGTTGGTTTTAGCATTTCCACAATAGAACATGGAATCAGCATGAGACCCATGCCTAGGAACTCGTATATTGAAGGAACCCAGTAGATATGCTGAGTCAACTCTGGCATGTAAAGTTTAAATAGGAAAGATAAACTATTGAGTATTCTTCTATTCTGTAAAGACTGCATTTCGAATCGATCTAACAGCAGCTTATGTTCATATCCTCTATTTGGATAATAACCATCAATTCGAAAGCTTAAAAATTTAAGAAAACGACGTTGAACTTTTTCAAGCTTGTTAGTATGTATCTGGTAGTAAGGGTACCATATAAGGCTGCAGTATTCTAATTTAGAACGAACTAATGAGTAAAACAGGCACTTCAATGCAGTAACGTCATTAAAAGAACTTAAATTTCTGACTATAAAACTCAAAGCTCTATTAGCTGCATTTATAATTGTATTGATATGATCAGTGAAGGACAGTCTATTATCATATATTACACCTAAATCCTTAACATTATCGCAACGTGCTAGTAACGCATTTTCAAGGATGTAGCCAAATACTAACGGTTCTTTTTTGGATGTAAACGAGCAGACCTTACACTTATCTATGTTAATAGGTAATTGATTATTCTCACACCATCTACTTACAAGATCTACCTGCTCTTGCAGTATTAAACAATCTTCCAAATTAGATACACTGAGAAACAACTTCAAATCGTCGGCAAAAAATAGATGATTCGATTTTAAAGACAGAGATAAATCATTAATAAATAAAATAAAAAGAAGTGGTCCTAAATTTGACCCTTGGGGTACTCCAGATGTCGCTATAAAATTTTCAGATTTAAATCCGTTGTATGAAACATATAGTTCACGTTGAGAAAGATAGGATTTAATGAGAAGAATCAGATCGTTTAAACCAAATAAACGTAACTTATTAAGAAGTATGCCATAATTAACTTTTAATGAACTTGTGTCAAATATTTTTGTCACATGTCCGTTACGTCAAAAAGGTAAATACACGGATTTGTGATGAATATAATGTAATTTTAAAATCTGACTTACCTCAACATTGCAAGGAGCCATCTTTTGAGAACTGCTCATTTTCATAGAACATGTTCGATGTGCCCACTATTTCCTTGCACACAAGCTTCAGCGCGACGTATCCAATTCGCTCGCACGCGTTGCCACATTGCCACGTCCTCTCAAATCGTATTACAAGGTTCGGCAATACGATGTCGCAGTTGGTCGATGTCACGAATTTTCGTGGAATACACAACACTTTTCATAAATCCCCACAAAATGAAGTCTAAAGAGGTGAGGTCCGGGGACCGGGGGAAGCATTTAACTAGGCTATCCAACGATCGGGAAAAGTAATGTTTAGAAAGTCGCCCACTCTCCGAAAAAAGTGAGCGGGGGCTCCGTCATGCAGCAACCACATATTTTGCCGAACATTTAATGGCATGTCTTCCAATAACTCCGATTTTGCAAAAAATCTAGATATGAAGCACCGTCTAAGCGTCTAGGCAATTCAAAAGGTCCTATTAAAGTGTCATTAACGATACCGGTCCATATGTTCTTTGAAAACTGTTGCTGAAAGGCACCGCGACGTATTTCGTGTGGATTGTCGATAGTCCAATGGTAAATGTTGTGGACGTTACGTAGGTACACCATTCCCACTAAAACATGCTTCATCTGTAACAAGTATTTGCGCTGTAAACTGCACCTTCTTGCATGTTCCTGAAGCAACCATTCGCAAAATCCTCGACGTAGTAGAAAGCCTCAGGAGTAAGCGCTTGAACACCTTGAATATGAAATGGGTACAACTGAACTTCTCGTAATGTCATGCGAAATATTTATTTGCTGTGCGATATTTCTGGTGCTACGACCGGATCTTCTTCGACTAGATCTAAAACCATCTCCTCGACATTTAAGATTCTTTGTGGTCGCCCTGGGCCACCGTCGCGACCTCGACGCGGTTGTACTTCACCGGTGTCCAAAACTGTGCGCTGCAGCAACAAATGTTCCCGGTGCGAGGGAATATCGTGCAGGATATCTTGCACGGTACACTTGACAAGCTCTGTGGACATTTTCGTTTCATTCCCCATAAATTATGAGCATATCATAATATTCGCGATTACTAAATAAATGCGCCATTTTCTAAAAAAAAACTTGGAAATACGGCTATTAAATGTAGGTACTCTCGAAAAACAGCACAGCAATCACTACAACAATGTATTACAAACTGACTTTCGAATACAATCCGGCTTCATAAGAAACCTACAAACTCGTAAAAACTGTTACAGAAGTTCTCGCCGCGATAAGCTACTTGTATTTCAGCAGTTCCAAAATAGTTTTAAACACATTTTTAAATAGCCTTTTTCTCTATAACCTTAAATTTCTGATACAGTTAACTTCTTGTACCCTGATAGTCAATGTTTCAGGAGATGACGATAACTTAGTCGTTATCAAGAATTAAACATGGCATTAAAACTTCAAGGCACGCCCCTAAAGCGGTAAATTGTTACAGTCGTTCTTGTAATTCTATCCCAACAAGTATTGTACGGATTGTAGTGTATTTATACCGACAATAACTAATTCGTTGGTTTTAATTGACTCTACATTGAATTTTTGATACATTTATTGACTTAACTATCTTTAAAAAAAACGAAGTTGCTTAAGCAGTATTTTTATTTCTGTATGTAGGATGCTACACGTTATTCTAAAACTATTTCATAGTGCAATTATACGAGTGTGAATTACTAAACTAATAAATTTAAATCTGTGAAATTCCCTTCCAAATCCAAATTATAGCGATGTCGATTTATGTCGTCT